TAATGTAATGTAATGTTATCAATTAACAACAGGAGGGGTCACAGACATAAGACCAGCTGTTAAATAAAGCTCTTCTGACCTTAGCTGGCATGTGGGTATATATATTAATGCTGCCCATTATGGGCACAAGCAATTTTCACCCATTTATTAATTATATGTTTTAAATTTGAGTGTTTCCTATCCCCTAAACCTCCATGGATGTACACAGTATACTGGCAACTTCTTATTATGGGAAATACGAAAACGTCTTTTAAAACTACAACTCCCAGTAGAGACGTGCCATAGATAGAGAACATGTTGCGAAACACAATATCGATAGCAGCGACCCTAGCAACAAGTAACAAGTAGTTAATAATAATAAAAGACATTAAGAAAAAGGCATTTTAAAAAGTCATTAAAAAGCAACACAATCTACCTGCATTGCATTACTCTAAACGTGTAATAACGTGCTTTTAACCAGTAGGTGGTTTGGGTTAAAAAGCTGTCAAGTTTACAGTGTTAACAAAATAAAATATACTGCTGTTTCTGGTTTAGTTTACGACGGATATATTTAGTTATTGTTTTGATATTTGTAACACAAAAGCGATGGAAAAAACCCACAGCAACACAGAAAAGATGGTCTTAACATGACCCAGCGGTCTAGTAGTTAATAAAAAACAATAATATCAAAACAAAATATTACTACTAACTTTATTGTGAAATTCAAACTGAACGGTAAAAGAATAGTTTCCGGTCTATTCTGAGCCCGATCTCTGTAGATAAATAAAAATAAAGAACTAGACAGATGTGTAATATATTTAATGCAGTCGAACCATTTATTACAATGCATTCATGTGATGACTTTCAAAGAGTAAAGCAAGCACTGCTGAATAAAGTATGATTTTATCTTTTATGAAAAGTTTTTTTTCATATAAAATGCAGTTGGAGGTCAACCAATCACAGAGCTTGAGAACTAATCATGGGGTTTATCAAACAGAGCACAAGGTGCAGTCCTAAACGATAGCTGGGGATTTTGGGTAGTGTAGTGTCTTCTGCCATCCTTTACTCCGAAAAAATATTTGTTTCTCCGAATCGAAGGGGGAAAATACAAAAGCATTGCACACAATTTAAACCAATCAATTTTGTGTAATTAACAAGTATAATCTGGTGTTTTTTAGTTTATGAGTAGTGCAGATATCACTGTAAAATCAATCGACAGTAAGGGGAATACTTACTTCCGGGTGTAAAATTCTCCGTTATCCAATGGGAATGGACGCTCACATTGCCTTTAAGGGCAGCCGACACAAACGAATGCCGTGCTTCCATGAGCGTCAAATCCCGCCGCAGATGGGAATACATTGCAATCAGTTGAAAGCTATTTGCGTCCCTTTATGAAGCTGAAGGAGCCTAGCGTCACAACTGCACGCCACGGGACCCTGACCAAACGTCGCTCCTGGACGATTATGGAGTGAGAGTGTGTTGAATATAGAGATAATGCACTTCATCATTTATTATTCTATTGCATTAGAGAACCAAAATAGCCGACTGTCAGTGAAAACAAATCTAGTTCAGTTGAGTAAATATTCTCACCCCAAGGTCATATGCTGCTCTGGAGCTTTCGATTATATGTCATATTCGTCATCATGCAATACCGATTCTCCCCAAAAAATTCAGAACATTTCATAGATGGTTTAATCATTATATTCATTTAAAAAAAGTATTACTTGAGCATAGGCTCCTTGTTGTTTCCTCATATTGGTGAACCCACAGAGAATCATCCCTGCACTTGCTTTCTTTAAGATGTTGATGATACAAGAATGCTTTTTATTGATTATTAACCTAAAGCTTGTTCCTTCCTCATCACTGCAGGGTCTCTGGCAGTGTCTGTCACCGATATGACGGCTCCTGTGGTCGGCTCATCTGGAGGAGTGTACGCTCTGGTCTCAGCACATTTGGCCAACGTAGTAATGGTAGGTTTTCAAGAATCAAGCTTTTGATTGTCACTCTGGTTATACATGTACAATCCTGTGAGATGCTTCTTCTGGGAGGCCCCATTAAAGACAAACGATAAAAAGTTAATATAAAAAAACATAAAATACATTGCATGTGTGTGGGTGTGTTTGTTGTGCGTGTGGATGGTTATCACATCACTCAGTCGCCCTGTCACACAGAGCTTTGCCACATCATCAGAGCATCAAAGCAGCCTGTTTTGGGGCCCAGCAGGTGCTGCTCTATCTACAGATGCCATACATTCCTCACCTTCGCCATCAGTTTTTGAAGAAATCACATCCTACTGCACTCTCTGACATCTGCTCTGTGTGGTCAAAACTGTGCGTCATATAAACACACTCAGGTGAACATTCATTATGTGTAATACGGTACTTATTTTGTAACCTGCTATATCTTCCACAACATTGTTGCCGTTTGCGAATATCCTTCTGCTGAAATCTTATTATCTAACAGGGCAAAAACAGATTGGGGGTCAGAGTGTGTGGGGATTTCCAAATTGAGGTGAATTTAGACAGAGGGCGAGATCTCATGTCTTTTCATGTCAGCATGTGTGCAGTGCTCCTGTCTGAGGAGGACTTGACCTTCTCACACTTTGTTCCGTCTTCATCACCAGATCTTGAAATGACCTTCTGAATGACTTCATTCTCTCTTTCTCTCTCTTTCTGTAGAATTGGTCGGGAATGAAGTGTCAGTTTAAGTTATTCCGGATGGCAATGGCTCTGGTTTGCAGTAAGTCTGAATAAAAATGAATCTCTCCCCTTTCACCTCAACTTCAGAGTCATTTTTCAAACAAGTACTTTTTATCTGTTTGTCGAGCTATTCCCTCACCAGAATTGAATTTCCTTATTAGAGAAAAAGTGATTTTGCTCCAAAGGCAGCAACAATAAAATGTCTGGCTTCAGCATATTGAGGATGTTTCAATAAGACCCAGTGAACACGGCAATCCAAACTCTGCCACGATTTCATGTCTTTACTTGCCTCGGGTACATGCATGTGAGGGGGACAAGATCATATTTGTATTTTCTTTTATATGTCCCTCTTTTCCAAGATACAAATACAAACAAAATGAGGTGAAAAGATTGTGGTATGTTCACTTGCTTACATTATTTAAAAGCAAGCAGAATCACTACTAGATTGTGACCTGCAACACAGCCCCAAAGCACTGAGTGAGCTGATAAATTAAATTAATTAATTAATCTAAAGTTGATATGTTAATACATTTCAATAACTTGTGTTTGACACATACTTAGTAAACTCCTAAGTTACATAAGTTAACCTCCCTGAGTATTAAAGTAAAATAAATCCATCTTTCTGTTGTTATCTATCCATGACAGCTCAGAAAATGTTAAAATAAGTCTTTGTTGGCCATCGACTCTAAAATTCAACATTGTTTTATAACATTTTCACAAGTGCACTGTTGGTCAGGAACTAAGAACAAACCTTGCTTACATTGTGTTTTCTCTGTCTCCCTCTGTCTGCTCTCAGTGAGTGTAGAGTTTGGTCGGGCAGTGTGGCTGCGCTTCTACCCCCCGGCCTTTCCTCCGTGCCCCAATCCCAGCTTCGTAGCCCACCTGGGAGGGGTGATGGTTGGGCTGACGCTGGGTGTAGTGGTCCTGCAGAACTACGAGCAGCGCCTCCAGGAGCAGTCCCTGTTTTGGATCTTCTTCTGCGTCTACACCTTGTTTGTGCTCTGCGCTGTCTTCTGGAACATCTTTGCCTACAGCCTGCTTGACGTGCGACTGCCTCCACCACCTTGACTTGATTATCAGAGGCAGGCTTGACACTGTATCCCCATTATTTCCCTTCCCTACCACCTTGCTGGATGACTCACCCCAGCCCTGATACTCTCTGATGCAGGGATGCACCTGACATGCAGAGGCCCATGGTTGCCGTTTATGTCATACCTTTTTCAGCCCATCTGTTCCTTATTGGTTAAATGTTGCCAGTGTTTTTCGCTTACCATACAAGCTAACCTCAGCCTGCTCTTTGTCAACATCTCTCTTGGACATTTGTCTAAAAAGTAACAGTCAGTTGGAAATGTTTAGACATCACAATGACAAATGAGAAGCCTCGGATCTAACGCAACAGGATCAAGCAGGAATAGTCCCGTAAACCTGGCTAAACTTCCTCTGCCTATTCCTTCTCAATCCAACGGTGCCTTCTCATGGAGACGTCAGCCTGATGAAAGTATTTCTGCACAGTCACACCTTGTGTTTCATGGCAGCAGTAAAACCCTGCTGTACAAACTGTTTTCAGAAAGGAGAGTTCCTGAAAATCTTTTACTCTGCCTCCAGCCCAATTGTCAGTAAATGAAGAATAAGGTCATGCTTGAATGTAGGCTTAGTTAGTGTTTAGTCATCATTTCAAGCAGCCTATAAGCAGGAGAGGTTCATATTAAAACAGATGGCAGGATATCCAAACCTCTCCAAAATTGTAGGTGGAGTTACCGCAACTTTCAAAAGTTATGAATTTTTCTTTGAAGAAAAGTGTGGGTTATTATTCAGTGTTGCCTCACTCATGTGACACTTGCCCAGATAATTATGTTTTGTGTTCAACACTATTTGAACCTTAGACGTGTGTCTTTTTACTTTTTTGTCTGCAAGGAGGGTGACAATTGTTCACACAGAAAAAAATAAAAAGAAGCAGAAGTGCCATTTAGACTTTTAAGCTTTCAAACACGATGCCAAAACTACTACTAGCACTGGAGGGAAAGAGCACATCCCCAGAAAATAATTGTTATTGTGCAATGAAAATGAATCTATTTTTGTTCTGTTATGTATCGGTCATACAGTATGTGACAGAAAAAGGTCATGATCTCTAAAGAATCTCTCACCTTTGGGGAACCCTAAAAGGAAGTCGATTATTTGTAATTTTGTTGTCCCCTCTGGGCAATTGCAGTAATTGTTTGTGATTGGTTGAAAAATAGCGATGAAGTGACAACAATTTATTTATTGATTGGTCAGTAGGTGAATTACGTCAAATGGGATCAGACTAAAGCAACATCCACCAGTGTGGACAACTGGGCCATTTTGAAGAAATGTAGTATTTTCTCATTACCAAACATAGAAGAGCACACATGCCTGACCTCGCCTACATCCGGGCTGGGGTCGTTTCACTCATATCAGGAGGCGTTGGGGGAAAGAAGTAAATCAATGCTCCCTCATTACTTCCTGTCACAAGGTAAATTGTTAATTGATTGAACTGGGATAGAAAACGACCCCAGCCCTAAGCTGTAAGTCTCAAACTGTACTGTACTTTAACCTCATGTTACGCTGGTAACTGCTTCGCACAAACATTATTATAATGTAATTATATACAGATTAATATTTTAACATGCATTTGCTGTTGATTTTTTTGTATCTACTTGGTGATTATTGGTATGTTGTGAAAATTGTTTGGTCGGTCTGCATTGTGATAATTAGCTATATCTTATATGTAGGCTATCCTATGTAAACATGTGTTAAAAGTAGTGTGGGGTTGTATATAATAAGGGCTATGACACAAACAAGATTGAGGGGGTAAATGCTGATAATATTTTAACATTGTTCATATTTTGTAGATTTGATATGTACATACTGGAGTACATTAAACTGTTTTATACAGAAACAAACAATGATTTATTTGCTCTTATTTATATCAGTGATGACTCAGGTCACATATACACGCATACACACATACCATTTTTGACAATATTCTCAGGAAATGAATTACTCCCAATTGTGCAAAGAAAGTGTTCAACCAAGCAGGTTTGCAGACTTCAAACCAGATTCACCTCAATTTGTTATCGAAGTGTTTAAAGAGAGCTCAGGGCCCCAGATTGGAAAGCAGGGGTAAGAGCCTTTGTGAAAAAAGCAGACGTCAAAGTGATCAATGAAAGGTGCGAGTACAAGAATATGCCATAATTCATTCAGAGAAGAGACTCCTTAAGCTGTCACTGAATGTCTTCTCTGTCTAGCCGGTACAACCATATGGAGAGCAGCGTTTTGAAGGCGTACAATGAAAAATTGATTAGGCAGCCAAGGAAAGCTACCTCAGTTGTGTTTCCCCTTCATAAATCTCCAATTTCAGAAGTAATCATTCACCTTGGTGAGAAAGAGAAGGCAACTAAAGCTGCAGGGGAAGGGAAATCTGAGTGAATGCATTTGGAGTCTCTTGCTTTTATGTTGCTTTCTGAGAGCAGCTCTTACAATTCGGCCAAGTTTTCATTTCACGTCTTTTAAGTTACAAGCAAGAAGAAAGACATAGTTCAACAGTTTGCACACAACATTGATTCTAATGCTTTTGCGTGTAAATTATCTCTAAATTGATACACATTAGGGTCACAGATCCTCATATAAGATTGACTTCCTGGGACCTTCATCCTAAATGTTTTGGTTTTTAGTTATAATAAGTCAAATAAAAGTTGAGGTTATAACCATGGAGGATGTTAAAGTATCAGAATAGTGGCTTTCATGAAATTCACTCAAATTGGGCTGACTATAGTTCTATAGTGAAATAAATTATAAACTATTCTCTATTTTTCTGCGTCTTGAATGGCAGGTAGAAACCACTTGTCTTAAAAAGCAATGAATGCTATAAGGATTTCCCTTTGGAATGGAGGAAATCATGAAAAAACAACTAAATGATTAAAAAGATTCATGACAGAAGTATCTACATCCGTCTTTCAATACTGTATGTTATTTTGCACCAAATACACATGCCTATGAAAAATCCTGCTAACATTCATCCATAAAACCAAGGCTAAACCATGCATAGACCATGTAAAGGGCTAGACCCAGTTTCCATATCTGCACCGCTGTCTCCATCAAGTGGACGCTTACTGAATTACAAGTTGCAATTATATGTTATGCACGTCAGTAGAATTTGTTTTCATGAATAATACTATATTGTGGTGATACGGGATAGGACATAATTCACCGTGTGTTTGGTGTGTGTTGCAACCTGGACCCGTTAGTGAGGGTACCGGGGTTTGTTGTAATTCTGGCTAGCATGATATGCAGTAGCAGCAAGTGTACTGATCTTGTGATTATTCAATGTATAATAAAGTGTGGAGTTCCATACTGAACACACCGCCTCCGACTCCCTTTCATCGGCTCTACACTGGTGATCCTGACGTTTTCGAGAAAGTTTCCGAAGACTCAATGAACATGGCTAATCGCGATGTTTTTGTAAAGCTGCAGGAGTTTCGGGAGCATGCCGCTTTGGCGTGGTTTGCACACGTGGAGGCGCACTTCGCCTGCCGACAAGTCCGTGATGGGGATTTGAAATACTACCATGTAGTAGCAGCGCTGGGAAGCTCCACCTCATCCAGGTTGGTGGGATTTATCGCTGACCCCCCACACCATGACAAATATGAGGCGATTAAGGCCCTTCTCCTTAAATTTATCTGCTAAGGAGAGGGCCCGCCAGATTTTTGATATTCAAGGCCTAGGCCCAAGGGCAGGGGTTCTCAACCTTTTTTCCCAAATGACTCCTGTTGGAAGTTGCGCCCCCCCCCACACACACACACAAGGGGGGGGGGTGGGGGTGTAGGCCTAGTTCCTGCTTCGAGGGAAGACGTCACTCGTGGGGGACATGGACCGCGGCTGACGACGGCCGGATTTTTTATGTGCTTGTGGACGTTAAAAATAAACGCTTGGTTGATGCCTTGACGTTTTCCTCCCTCGTTTGTACACTTGGCAAGGCGGCTTACGACGGGCTCGCGGTTGGGAGCGGACATTTTTCTCAGGCTGTTGGCTGACTTTCCGGACCTGACGCTACCCACCTTCTCCGCGCTCACCACCAAGCATGGGGTGGAGCACCACGTCACCACTGAAGGTCCCCCAGTCTACGCCAGGGCCCGGCGGGTTGAACCCTTCTAAGCTTGCAGTAACGAGGGCGGAGTTTTCAACCATGGAACGCCTGGGTATCGTCCGCCGTTCTGACAGTCCTTGGGCCTCTCCTCTACACGTCGTTCCGAAGCCGAACTGTGGTTGGCGCCCGTGTGGGGATTACCGTCGCCTCAACGACGCCACGACACCTGACCGCTAACCGGTGCCGCACATTCAAGACTTCTCGGCACATCTGGCCGGTACGTCGGTGTTTTCGAAAGTGGACCTGGTGCGTGGTTACCACCAGGTGCCCATGCATCCCCTGGACGTCCCTAAGACAGCAGTGATAACGCCGTTTAGACTTTTCGAGTTCCTGCGGATGCCTTTTGGGCTCAAGAACGCCGCCCAAACGTTCCAGCGCCTGATGGATTCGGTGCTGCGGGATCTGCCGTTCGTGTTCGTCTACCTGGACGACATACTCGTCGCCAGCGCTTCGGTGGAAGAGCACCTGTCACACCTCCGAGCCCTTTTCACAAGGCTCAGGCAACACGGGTTGATCATCAATCCTGCAAAGTGCCAGTTCGGGGTTTTTGATACTGACTTCCTCGGGCACCGCGTCACCAAAGGCGGTGCAGCACCCCTGCTGGCGAAGGTGGAGGCTGTTGCGGCTTTTCCTCGCCCGCTCACAGCCCGGTCGCTCCGTGAGTTTCTGGGGATGGTGACTTTCTACCACCGTTTCATCGCCCAGGCCGCTCACATTATGCGGCCGCTGTATGAGGCTTTGAAGGGTACGACCCCCATCCAGGCGATCGACTGGACGGCAGAAGCTGGGTCTGCTTTCAAGGAGGTCAAGACCGCGTTGGCTCAGGCGGCCCTATTGGCGCACCCATCTCCATTACCACAGACGCATCGGACTACAGTGCACGAGCAGTGGGTGGAGGGTGCTTGGCAGCCACTCGCCTTTTTCAGCCGCCAGCTGACGTCCAGAGAACGCAGGTACAGCGCTTTTGACCGAGAGCTCCTTGGACTTTATTTGGCCGTGTGGCACTTCCGTTTTTTGCTGGAAGGCCCTGAATTTACGGCGTTTGTCGACCACAAGCCGTTCACGTTCGCCATGTCTAAAGTGGCGGAGCAGCTGGCAGCTTTCCTACATCTCGGAGTTCACCACAGACATTAAGCACGTGGCTGGCAAGTCAAACCTGGTTGAAGATTGCCTTTCCAGGGTCGTCATCGGAGCCGTCCAGTTGGGCCTGGACTATACTCGCATGGCGGCGGACCAGGTCACAGACCCCGGCGTCCAGGCTCTGAAGGTGGAGGGCGCGGGGCTGCGCTTGGAGGACGAGGTGTTCGGCGACGCGGGCGTTACCCTCCTGTGTGACGTCTCCACGGGCCTGTCGCGGCCAGTCGTTCCCACCAGCTGGAGGCGCTCGGTGTTCGAGGCAGTGCACGGCCTGTCACACCCCGGCGTTAAGCCTTCGGTGCCCTTGGTGGCCGCGAAGTTCGTCTGGCATGGGCTGAAAAAGGACGTGAGGACTTGGGCTGGTGAGTGCGTGGCTTGTCAGCGCGCTAAGGTGCACCGCCACACGAAGGCCCCTTTGGAGCGATTCCTGGTGCCTGAGAGGAGGTTTGACCACGTCAACATCGACATGGTTGGTCCATTGCCCTCCTCTCAGGGCTTTTCCTACCTCCTCACCATGGTGGACAGGACGACCCGTTGGCCGGAGGCGGTTTCTCTTGTGTCGACATCAGCCGCAGACAATGCCAGGGCTTTCATTGCGACGTGGGTGTGTCGTTTTGGCACCCCGTCAGACATTTAATCGGACAGGGGCTCACAATTCACGTCCGAGCTCTGGAACGCCGTGGCGAGTGGTCTGGGGGTTAAGCTGCATTATTTCGGAAAAATAATGTATTGAAGTCAATGGAGAGAGAAAACGTATCTTTCGATCCCGTTTGAATTGTGCCATAAATTACACATATGATGTTTGTCAATCTTAAAAAATAATTTCCATGTCAAAAAAGTCAGAGTTTGTCGTTAAATTGTTGAAATATAAGACTATGAAAAATATGCAACTAGAAAGACTACAAATCCCAGAGTCGCGTAAGTGATGTCACAATTGTTTTCCTCCACTAAGAGATAGCTAAGATCAGCGCCATATAGATATAATCTATCTATATGGCGCTGGCTAAGATAAGATAACTTTAACAAGATGCCTGTGTGCTCAGTACTAGGTTGTTAGCATACCAGCAATGGGTCTTGCTCGTTCTTTCGCTTCCCGTATGATGAAAGGACCAGGAGTGGCTGGATCAAGTTAGCTACCTAGCTAGTAGCTAGCACGTTAGTTAGCATTACAGCCATGTCATTTTTATTAGCCTTAACATGAAGTAACATTAAGTAACCCAAAATGTTAAACAGTAAGTGTAGTAGTCATATTTCGTGAACCCTTTGAAGAGTACTGTCACCGGTATGATCATTCTATAATACACAATTTAAGCCCGGGAGAGAAATGCTAACGCTAGCATCGGCGATCGCCGATCTTTTCTACTTAATGCTATCTGCACAAATGGTTGACATTAAACATTAAAAGACCAGGCAGTTCAGAGAGAATCAAAGGAAGGCAGGCAGGCAGCTTTGCATGACATTCTTCTGGACGTGTTTCATTGTGGTGATAGTGAGGGTA